CATCCATACACGGACGTCCAGAAAAAATTATGTTAAATGTTATTATTTACTATGTTAAACAAAAAAATTGTTATTGAAATATATTTTATGTGCCTGACAAATTATTCGACTTGATATAAGTGTACTCATATTAACCTATAAGTGCGATATAAATAACAAAAAATCAATTTTAGTTTCGAGAAAACTGCTTTTTTTGAAATGTCGAGAGTAGAGCACAACCTCAACGCTTCGCTTATGAGGCGTGCAATATGTATGTATAATTATACATATATATTTCAGATAAAAGTATCCAAATCAATTTGAGGCTAAGAATTATTGATTAGACAATAACAATTAGACAAATAGACAATTAACTTCAAGTTAATAATGACTTTTCAAATATGACATACTGTATACTGATAACATCAGGCATTTGTCAATGTCGAGGGCAAAAGAAATCATTTCGATAAATGTGTACTATATATTCAATTTTAGAAATCTTATACTTTAAGGTAGTCGACCACCTTAGTGAAATTTGTGAAAGTGTGCGCGCTTCACATAGCGCTTAATAGCGAGCAAAAATTTTAAGCGCTTTTTTTAAAACTATTCTTTTTCAAATGGCGGACAGTTAATTTCTGAAACTACTCGGTCGATTTCAATTTTTATGGTCTTCCTTTGTTGGCTGAGATTTTTTTAAGCCAATCTACCACATTTTGCCAATAAGAGTTAATTATAACATTTTTTAACTTCCCGCTGAAAAAAATGAAAATTTTCAAAAATCGGGAAGTCATTAGTTTTGCCCCGTTTTTCGAAAATTGCGTTTTCATCAGATCTCGACGTTTTGAGGTCTTAGGAAGCTTCCCTGAATGTTTTGGCGATGATGTCCGTATGTCTGTATGTATGTGTGTGTATGTATGTATGTAAACCTCTTATAACTTTTAAACGGATTGACCGATTTCATCGCGATTGGCGCTATTCGAAAGGACTTGACCAAACTTAGATATTATACAATTTGGACCGATTCGGACCGGTAGATTTTGAGAAATCTCAAAAAAACTATGAAAAAAAATTTTTTCAAATGTGTTTTTTTCGAATAACTTTTAAACGGATTTACTGATCGATTCCAAAAACTATTCAGCTCTTAACCTCAAAAAACCACGTCGATCGCCACCGGTCCGGTCAAAATCGGTTGATTCTTTCGAGAGATATCGTGAACGAAAGAAAACTGAAAAAAGTGTTTTCTCGGAATCACTCCGAAATTTCTTGTTTGTAATGAATAAAGACATCGTCAATTGCACTTGAAAGAACTGTTTCTATTTATTTATTTATTTATTTTTTTTTTTTTTGGATCTTACGCATCAACCTTCTGGCCTAGACACGTGAGATTTTTACGTTCCTTCCTACTATTTATTGTGCTTGATGTGTCTGAATACGCATCTTTACCTCCTATCGCGGCTGTGGCCGACTTACAGCCTGTACCCGCATTTGCCTGTGCCCCGCCCCTTAGCACAGTGACCATCCCGCATGGAGAAATATATATGTCAAAAATATATGTCGCATATATAATATATATGCCGCATATATTTACACAAAAAAAAAATATGTCAACATATATTTTTCACATAGATGCTGACATATATGCAGAAATACATGCTTACATATATGTAGACATATATGTCGACATATATGTAAGCATACACTGAAAAAAAAATTTCTAAGTTTAAGAATTTTTTTACTCAAATCAAGAAAGTTAAATTTTTCAAAATTATTTCCTTGATTCAAGTTAAATTTTTTTCTGTGAATCTCTACCCTGGCGGTTTTGTGGTCACGGTGAAAATGCTATAGAAAGTCAGTAGTTCCCTCTATGGTCAACAGTGAGAACTTAGTATTAAAGTAGTGATTTCACTGTGAAACATTGGTGACTTTTCATTTCACTACTGTCAAAATATGGTATATGTCAGATCATTAGACCTTGGTAAAATGGTTCAAACGACATTTTTATATGGCAACTATGGAGTAAAACCATTGTAAAAAGTTCATAAATGTATAGTTATTTGACAGTCAAAGCACTTTTGTTACACAGTAAAATAGGAGTGAATCCAAAGTCGTTTCACCGTCGTTTTGCTGTCGTTTCATCGTCGTGTCACTGTCGATTTACCGTCGTTTCACGTTCCTTCCTTTGTCAAATAACGCTCCTTTGACCGTCTTTGAATAACTTACTCATGAAAAATCCCATTTAAAAATGCTAAAATTCTCCAAAATGAAAAATTTAGTATTTTTAGGACAATAATAATTTTAAGTAATATTTACGGTTTTTTTTTTAATTTATTAATTACTAACTCCTTGATACACTACTAAGCCTGTACAGCCCGGCGTGAGTTATGAGTACCGATGTTCACTGAAAATTATTAAATTCCAGCTCACACCGGGATTCGAACTCACGCCTCACCAGTCTCAAGCAAGCATGACAAGCGTTGTACCGCTTAGCCATGGGACTGTCTACTAAATCAGTTCCGTTCTGACATTCGTACAGAGCACATATATCGCCTCTTTGCTCCTACGAATTAACATTTTAATATGTGATTCTTCATAATAATTTTTTAACATCAGTGATTGTTTGTTAACACATAAACAGTAATATTAATGTAGTGAAAAACTTTAGTAATTATTTGAACTAAAAATAAAAATAAAAATATATAAGTGAATAGTGACAAACAAAAGCTTCCCGGCCATGGCCGAGAATGCTAAAAAATCTGAGGCAAGTTCTAGCATCAACCAGCCAATAGTTGTACACACAAAAAGGAAGTTTTCTAATGCTTCTGACGAAGATCTTTATGGTAAAAATTTACGAAAATCTCTTAAAGATTTAGATCAAATTTGTAATACAAATTTACTGCGTAAAACTTTCTTTGGGCATATTGTCACACCGAAGCCAAACCTAACTCGATCTCGCTCTCTCTCTAGAGAGAGAACAACATCAAACAAAGAACCCTCTGACAGTGGGTTTATTCATCCAAGGAGATACAGTAAACAACCTCCCCCATCGGAAAATGCCGGGCCAAGCATCTCAAATAGATTTGAAAAAATCTCAAATCCTGACATAGCGTCAATAGATGGCGACGCTCAACCAATTCAAGATCAAATTTTCCGAAAACCGATAAATAAAAATACTTCTCATCGTAGATCCACGATCGATAACTCTGAGAACACAACGACATCTAACGTGACTAAAACTACTAAAACAAACGTCAAGCCTCCAGTAATACATACCAAAGGTATACAAATAAAAGAATTACTGAAAACATTATACGACAATGGCGTCGACAAAAATTCCTATTGGATCAAACACGTGGGAGAATCTTACATCAATGAACCACTAGTGGACGTTTACGCAAACAACAAAGACACATTCGTCAAAATTAAAAATGTTCTTAAAATTAAGAAAATGGAATTCTATTCCTTCACACCAAGGGACGAAAAACCAAAGACTCTAGTACTAAAAGGAATACATGGTGGTTTTGACGTGAATAACGTGATCGAAGCAATACAAGATCTACAACTACCTGATATTAAAATTACCAAAGTAAGTAAACTAGAGTTTAACAAAGAAGATAAAAGTCTGTATCACTTTTTAGTACAATGCTCAAATGAGAGTAAGACTGCTGGTTTAACCAGACAAAAAAGACTGCTCCACCAACCAATAAAATGGGAGAGACTGAGAAGAAAAAAGATGTTTCAATGTACCAGATGTCAACAGGTAGGACACTCAAGCAGCAACTGCAACTACGAACAACGCTGCGTTAGATGCGCAGGAAATCATGACAAAGATGCAGACTGCCCTGTCGCAAAAAACAGCGACAGATCCCTCACCAAATGTGCCAACTGCGGAGAGAATGGACATCCTGCCTCATACGGTTGCTGCCCATACTTAAAATATGCCAATGGACAGAAAAAAATGGTAATGTCAGCGAAAAGACAGTTAAGAATTAAAAAAATTGAACAAATCAGCAGGTTAGTCAATCCAAATATTTCGTACGCAAATACAGCAAAATCAGGTACAGATCATCAAAATAATCAACATCAAACAGAACAACTTCTATTGTCTGGCCCAACAACACAACCGAATCTTCAAAGTCTTAATGACATTTTAAACAGCTTTAAAGAATATATCATGGCTCACATAAATAAAAATTTCGAAGAAATTTACAGAAAAATTGACTTATGTCCACTTTAATAAGTCATCATATCTACAGGCTACTATAGGCCTCACTTCCATTTAAATGTATATATGTAAATATTAGTAGTTTTAAGCTTTAGTTTTATATTTTTATTAGTTTGTAAGGTAAAATTATGTTGGTATGGTTTTACTTTTTTCCATATATCTAAAAATTAAATAATGTAGCAAGACATCCTAAAAAACGATAAAAACTTTATATTTAAATAGTTACTCTATAAATAAAAATATGCTGAGATTTATATTGCATTATAACCAAGCGTAAACAAAATATTATATTAATTCTGTTTAAGTTATTTTCTAAGATGTTTTTGACTTATTTCATGTATATGTATTATTATTAATAAAAACATACTTTTTAAAACCAAAAAAAAAAAACTGTCTACTAAATGGTAGCGAGTTTGAATGAATATTTTTAGACAGGGGCAGGTAGTTTTTAATTAAAAGTCGATGAAATTTTTTTTTAATATTTATACCATTATAATTAAGGACGATTTTCATTGTATCTTGAAATATCCT